CTAAACGAGAACAAAAGATTTGCCGCTTTCAAAGTGATGAGTGCAGCTGCCAACATCAGAGGGTAGCATAAACAAAATATAACATGTACACTCCTCAGTTCCATCTTTTGTGGCAAAATTTCAACAGTGTAAATGTAGTGTCAGGAGAGCTTCAGGGTATTCGTTCGGTTCTATCCTATTCTCGTGTCCCACGGGCAAGCTAGTAACAGATGAAGCGACACCGCTGAGGAATGTCCAAAAAATTTAGTTTAGGAATTCCCTTTTCTATACTCGCATACAGATGCCGGCAGTGGTATCACGCTGAGTCTTCTTTCATGAAAGACGTACCTGTTTTAGACCAGTACTTGGATGTCTCCCTAAATAAAACAAATGGTCAACGGATTCATATGGCCCTGATTCCAACTTTCAGACAAACTGCAATTACAGATCCGCTTGAAGCTACTAAGAGCTAAACCCGTACAACCCTTCAGTTGCTTGGTGGTTGACGATTGGCGCTGGTGGCTGGTAAGTGCTTCATTTTGGCACCGAATACATTGATATGGCTGTCGCAACAAGTGCACCGAGGAAACAACAAGGGCGTCGTGCTTGTTGAAATAATTCAATATAAGTGGTAGTTAGTTCGGCATTTCTTTTGCTATTGGGCACATGGACTACTCTTCGACCAGTTTAAAATTTAATCTCTCCTACTTTTTTCGAAGAATGTCACTGAGTATAGTAGATGAACAAACGAATGTATTACTCCATTAAACGCCTATAGAAAGGATATAAAATAGCAGCATCCCGTTGATGAAAGCTTCAATGTTTGCCTCAAGTAAGGAAAGCTTAAAATCGGCGATAAATGTAGAAAATGAAGGCAGTTTTGACAGTGCCCAGGGGAATGCTGACACAGTCGTGGAATCCGTCAATGCTTTATCCCTTGAGGTCATTCTCATGGGATTCGAATGGCGAAAGGAGATTTATAAATAGAAACGCAAAAGTATCAGAGCCAAATGAGCCATAAATGTGATCCATTAACTTCAACTTCTAATATGGTGGTGCTTTGTCTAACTACCCCGGTGCACATTGCTTGAAATAGGCTTCTGCCCCAATAGGAGTTGTGCGTTAGGTGTGCTCGTTGGGAGGGGTGACAATTTGCGACGGGATGATGGCAACCATTGAAGGTCGGAAAGAAGAAACCAGATGTATTTTGTAAGTAAATGATATTGCAGTGTGGGATGGAGGGGTGAGGTGGTGAATGGGAACAATGCTCTTCGTGTACTGTGGACTTGTAGTCGCATACAGAACGTCTACAACGAATTCATTGGACACCATCTCACTGTGGATAATTAATTGTAGGTGTTAGGGCTTCAAGAGGGCACCATTTCTCGCACTCACTATGCCTTTGTATATATATTTTTAATCTTTCACAACGCCTGTGATGAATGTTGCGTGGCTTGTCATCCACACCAAAATGTTGTTTGTAATGTGACTAGGTCGTCTACTTTTCATTCACACATATAAAATCTATTGGGAGGCTGGTGTAAGTCAAGAACGTGCGTTTTAACGAGAGTCTCATATGATACGCTCACGTTGCCTGATAGAAGTGCATTAGATTGTAGGCATTCCCGTATTCTTCTGACTGATTAGATATTGTGTGGATCTGTCCAATGCGGTACGTCTTCTAACTACCCTTCTGTATGTTAATTTTTCTTACACTTTGCCACTGGAATGTAAGCATGTCAAATCCCTATTAATGACCTTGGACTTTAGAAGTCCAGTCCTTCTTTGTGCGTGAAAGGTGTTGCAAACGTTACCAGTTGTGTTCTGTTTGCTAACAGTATTTTAATTGTTAGAATACAATTGATGCAAGGAAAGATAAGGGTAGGGGCATTCCTCCGTTTGACGCTGGTATTTTGCACTTATCTATGGGAGGGAAGCAGCAATGATGGGTAAGTTTGGGGTCTAGGCGCCTCTTGATGACCGCAGACGAGTTGTCTCGCCGCGGAAATTTGGATGGAAGGTTGATGGTGTCTAGTTCGTCATTTTCTTCCGTAGCTACCTTGTTGACTTTTGTATAGGCCGCTACCCTTAAGTAATCGCGGAGATGAGTTGGGGGATTGAGGCATGCTTTTACACCTTCACTCAAGGTTGAGATTCATCCGCAACTCAATGCATTCAGTTAAGCCTTATTTACGCGCAGGTGAAGGATGCAAGATGAGCGTGGGGTTAAGAGGAAGGAAGGAGTTAGTTGGTGTCTTGGCCTACAGTTGGGTGTGAGAAGATAGGAAGTGCAAAGGTTGCGCCTTGCATCCGGAACGGGTCGATAGTCAGGCAATCGGGACAGAGTTGGCGTCAGCAGAAGTGAGTTCGGGTTTCGCGACCTCCAATGTGCGGGTTCGACCCCCGACAGATCACCTCTGGTTTAACGACGATGTTGAAAGTCGCCAGCTCCGTCGTGAGGCGCCACTGGTGCGCTTAGAGGATGAGGGCGAGGCAGCCGACTTAACTTAGTTCTTTCTACTTTCTTTTCCAAAAGTAAGTACCGTTTTCAGACAGTGAATCGATGAGATCTCTTTTGTGTGCATCGCTTAGTTGGATGCACCGCTTGGAATACTACTGGCTTAAATTTAATAATTGTATCAGATCTACTCTCACTACAGCTTGCTGATAAGCTCTAGTAAGTGCACTGTCTGAAAAATACTCGAGTTATTTACTCGTGTTCGATTGTGAGGAGTGTTCTACGTCTCATTTTGAGATGTTGGGTTGACCTGCGCCGCTGGATCCCCCGAGTGGGTAGATTGAGTAGTTTTGGGTTAGTATCGACTACTAACTGTCGGTTCTTTTGTTCGTTTCGTTTTCAGATCCAGTCCAGGTGGTGCGTCGGTCCCCGAGTTCCCCCACGCTTATGACCTCGCTGTTTACCACAGACGTTTTAACACTTGAGGCTTTCCTACCCCATCTTCGACGGCAGTAACCACCATTGCTACTACTGGTACTGGCGCTCTTCAGATCAACGCAGTGTCCCCTTCCTATGAATTTATTGCAATTTTGCCCAAACCAATAACTTGCAAATCAATTTTGCTTCTATTTAAGCTTTCACTAGAACCCATGAGCTCACCCGCGGTGGAATGGTGAGGATTCCTCAAATACGCTGCTTCGATGCAACGACACGCGATTGTTTTCAGTTTCACGCCCTTGTAACTTACTCTGACCCTACAAGAACACAAAGATCAGTTGTTCGAAAAGTCGGATCGAACCGAAAGAAGTTTGGACTAGTAGAGGTTTGAGTGGGAGACGTGTTCGTGCGGTTGCCACACGAATGGGTGGAGGAATGCGGCACTGATGTGTGTGCTTGCTCCAGATGTTAACATGGAGAGGAGATTGTTGCGTGTATGGAGTGCTTGTGGGTGGATTGTGGTCGTTATGAGGCGGGTGGGATATTGCCAAGTGCCGATCAGGCAAAAGAGAAGACAGCGTTTAGTAATTAGAAGTGGTTTACTTGGCTGGGTAGGATTTGAGGAAGTCTGCCAGGAAGTCAAATGGATCAGGTGGGTTTGCAATAACAAGTTGGGTGAGCCCCTCACGAAGCACACCACCGAGAGTGGTGATAAGAAAGTCGTTGTCATTAGAGGTTCTTTCTTGTTCCCCTTCCAACCAACAAACTTGTCTACAAGTGCAAAATTACTTTAAACATAGGAATTGCATAGATAAACACAAAACTAGGAAGAGTAATGCGCAAAATCAAGGTGCGGTTGGCCTGAGGGTGTACTTGTGCAGATCTTTGGGACAACTAAGTTAATAAACGACGACGTTTATGAAGGCAAGTTGTGTCAAGTGCGCCATGGATGTCAATCTGTCATTTAACCACCTCTCTCTGCACTCAGACTCGCGTCTGTTCATGGTTGAGCTCTTTTAAATGTCGCGGAAGTAGTGGGTACCATGTGAACACACATTTGAGTCATGCAAACACAACAAACGTCTAAAAAACTTCATGCTTGAGCTTTGGATCAGATTTTATAGATAGAAGCACTAAAACGTGATGAATATTAGTCAAAGCAGATTAGCAGGGATGCACAAGAGAAGAGATACTAAAATTCATATCAATTTTAGGTGCTCGAAAATTCAAACTTTTTGGTTTCTGGTTCACCATCCGTTTATACTGATGAGTAAAACGCAAGTTTTTAAATTCAGCCATGTACAGGGGCTTCAAACGCATTTTCCGATGGTCAAATTGTACAAAAGTGACCGCACATGACAAAGAAGGTCAGCCAAACAAAGTACTGCGTTTGTTGTATTCAGTACTTTTTGCAGGCAACCTCTGATGTTGGCAGCTGCACTCATCACTTTGAAAGCGGCAAATCTTTTGTTCTCGTTTAG